GCACTACTACTGGTTGTGCAACACTTGAGGGCAACACGTGCTCACCATTGCATACAAATGGCGGACACATATAGACCCCACTCTAACGACAATCAATCGCTCAGGTATTGAACCAAATTAGCGACAATTGTCGTCACCCGTGAGGCCACCGGTGCCGTCACAAGCGCTGTCACATCCAAACGATGGCCACTGTCTCGAAATGGCATACAATCAGCGTTTGTGGCCATCGCTGGGAGTCTACACAATAGAGCCATGCATTCAATGCATTGTCTCATTGTTAAGCAATTGACTGACAATTGATTTTGATTTGACATTAATTTCTATGAAACTCATACCCATTGGTAACTCATGTGTACATCTGTTCGCAGGAGTGGTCGTGGATTCGGTCCTTCGAGTGGTGGGAGTCGTAACTTCGGTGGCAATGATTTTAACAATTTCTCGAGCAGTGGAAGCGGTGGCGGCGGACGAGACCCGCCGTACACTGTGTTCATCGGGAATCTGCCGCGAAAAGTGATTCAGGGAGACATCGATGACATGTTCAAGAATCTCAAAGTTTGTACCACTTTATGATCATCACTCTCTTGACCACATGTACTACTCATATACACTGGTATTGATTTAATGCTTTGTTTGTATTGTTTCTTCAGTTGAGATCAGTTCGCTTAGTGAGAGATAAAGAGACCGATCAATTCAAAGGTATGTCCATTTGCTTAAGACTTGATGACCGAATTGGTTGTGAGGAGTAATGTCTCGTATATTTAGGTTATTGTTATGTGGAGTTCGAAGACGAAGAATCACTTAGAATGGCCCTCGAGTTTGACGGAGCGGTCGGTCTTTTTATCTAATTGTTTATGATTTGAATGAAACTAAATGTAACTTTTGATGGCCTGACAGGACTTTAACGGAAACATTCTTCGCGTCAATATCGCCGAAAACCGTCGAAACGACAGAAAGGGCTTTTCAGGGGGCGGTGGCGGCCGTGGAGGCGGACGCGGAGGTATGCCATCGCAATGTCTATTGGTTTAGAGGCTGTTGAGACTGATTGGTTGATTGATTTGGTTAGGTTTCGATCAAAGGAGTGGACCGCCGCAGAATAGAGGCGGACCGCGACCTCCCAATAACGGTCGTTTCGATGGCAGACCACCGCAGGACAGATACGATGGTCGCGGGGGTGACCGAAACGATCGGCCGCGTACTAACAGCGGCTCCGATAACTATAACAGTAGCGGCGGTCGAGGAGGAAGTTTTGAGCGCAACGACAGAGGGTATGACAGGGGAGGCGGTGGCGGCGGTTACCGGGGCTCAGATCGCGGCGGCTTTAACAGCGACAGACGCGGCAACTTTGGCGGCCGCTATGGCGGCGGTCGCGACAACTTTAGAGGTCGTGATGGCGACCGAAGGCCACCCCCTTCTCACCCGCCGGAAGAATTTAAAGAGTTGTCGGCCGAAGAGCAGGCGAATCGTCCCCGCATTCGATTACTGCCGCGAACTGTCGGCAAACCACTGAACGAATTGGCCGACAGTACGGCTCGCGACTCAATCTTCGGCGGCGCCCGACCCAGAGATGAGCGTCAGTACGAAGAGCGGCGCCGTAAAGAGTCTGAGAGCAAGGACTCGAGCGACGGCCGAGTAAGTGATGAAATGTACATAATTTGCACGCTTTGAACGATGCGAACCGTTATTCACTCATTTACTTCTCTCCCACTCTTTAGGACCAATGAGTAGACGGAAAAATGTTTTTGGTGTTGAATTTTGGTGGCCGTAAATTGAAATGCATGTTATGCTATGTCTTCACACACTATGGGTTCAATAATTTATTCATAATATAAAGGTTTACAACACTGTGTTGTTCTCAAATCTATACCATTATTATTATAATTATTATTATTATTTTGCGTTACCTTTGATTTTGTGAATCGATACTAAATTCTATAACTGATTTTAAAACCAAATTTCGATGCCATTAATATTATAAGTATCGGAGAAATCGTTTTTAATTATAACTATTTTTTTGTTTGTTTGTATTTACTTACGAACGCAATGTCATTATTATTATATTATAAATTAATTAATAGTTTCACAATCCATTTGGAGTTGACATTCATTTTTCACTTCAAAATATTGTAAAAATAGTTTGAAAAGTGCTTTAATTAATGAAATTGGAAAAAAGACAAAATACAATACATTTTTACTTTAAAACTTTAAATACTATTTATTATTATAATAATTATTATTATTTAACATAATTTAAACGAGCGATGATTTTATATAATTAACTGATTGTACTAGATGAGTTTGGATGTGTAGCCCAATCGGGAACTTCATTTAAATCAAACACAAATTGCCCCCAACTGTTGATTAGCGCCAATTCTATCCCAATGCAAAGGATGTTCATAACTACTCCGGGTTTTATCTGTAAATAAATTCCAATCATTGATTTCCAATTGACTGCAAAATCGACTCATTTTATCATAATTTGTAAGATTATATGTATTACTTATGGAAAGAATTGATTAATTTTAATAAAAACTAATTATTTCAATACCATTTCAATTGTCTTCA